TCCCAGGCAATAGCAGAGAGCTGAATTGGAAGTGGAGCAGCTGGGACTGGAACTGGTGTCCACATGGAATTCCAGCACTGCAGATGGTGGCTTTACCTGCTACACCATGGTGCGTGCTCCTTAGCATGTTTTCAAAATCCATCCACATTGTGCATTCCAGGAGTCAACAAATGATAGCTCAAGTACTTGAGTCCCTGCCACCCATGGGGGAGACCTGGGTTGAGTTCCTGGCTTCCTGACTTCTGCCTGGTCTATCTCTGGCTGTTGCTGGCATTTGGAGAATGAACCAAGCAGTAGGATGGAAGATCTCTCTGTCTGTCTCCCTCCATCTTTCTTTCTTCTATCTTTCAAATAAAAAGGAAATAAATAAATTAAAATAGAACTTCATCTATGCTGTAGCATTTATCAGTAATCTATTTTTTATAGTTGAATTGCATGTTTATACCACATTTTATTTATCTGTAGATCATCCCCCCTTCCCCCCGCCCCGCCCCTGGCTTTTGGGAATAATACTGCTGCAAACTTGCATATTCAGTTTTCTTGGGTATATACCTAGGAGTGGAATTGCAGAGTCAGATGGTAACTCTCTGTTTAACATTTTGAGGAACTGCCAGACTGTTCTCAGAAATGATTGCTCCATTCGGCATCCCCAATAGTATATGAGTGTTCCAGGTTCTGTAATTCTCACTAATACTTGTTCTTATCTGCCTTTTTGATTGTAGCCATCCTAGTGGGTCTCAAGCGATATCTCTGTGATTTTTATTGTATTTCCTTGAAGGTTAATGATGTTGAGCATTTTTTCATGTGCTTATTGGCCATACATGTATCTTTTTTGCAAGAAAAAAAGTTTGTTCAGACATTTACCATTTTTAAATGGGATTATTTGCATTTTTATTGTTAAGTTGTAAAAATTCCTTATATATTCTGGGTAGAAGTCCTTTATGTATGATTTGTCATAACCTTGGCCGGCGCCGCGGCTCACTAGGCTAATCCTCCACCTAGCGACGCCAGCACACCGGGTTCTAGTCCTGGTCGGGGCGCTGGATTCTGTTCTGGTTGCCCCTCTCCCAGGCCAGCTCTCTGCCGTGGCCCGGGAGTGCAGTGGAGGATGGCCCAATGGGAGACCAGGAGAAGCACCTGGCTCCTGCCATGGGATCAGCGCGGTGCGCTGGCCGCAGCGCGCCAGCCGTGGTGGCCATTGAAGGGTGAACCAACGGCAAAGAAAGACCTTTCTCTCTGTCTCTCTCTCTCAGTATCCACTCTGCCTGCCAAAAAAAAAAAAAAGAAAAAAAAGAAAAAAAAAAGAAAAAAAAAGAACCTCCCCTCCCCTCCCCCATTTTGTGAGTTATCTTTTAACTTTCTAGGTAGTGGTCTTTGAACAACAGAAGTTTTTCATTTTTTTAAAGATTTATTTTAAAAGATAAATTATAGAGAGAGGTAGAGAAACATAGAGAGAGGTCTTCCATCCTCTGTTTCATTCTCCAAATGGCCACAATGACCAGGGCTGGGCCAGCCTGAAACCAGGAGCCTGGAGCTTCTTCCAGGTCTCCCACATGGGTGCAGGGAGGGGCCCAAGGACTTGGACCATCTTCTTCTTCTTCTTTTTTTTTTTTTTGACAGGCAGAGTGGACAGTGAGAGAGGCAGAGAGAAAAGCAGGAGCCAGGTGAGCCAGGTGCTTCTCCTGGTCTCCTATGGGGTGCAGGGCCCAAGTACTTGGGCCATCCTCCACTGCCTTCCCGGGCCACAGCAGAGAGCTGGCCTGGAAGAGGGGCAACCGGGACAGAATCCGGTGCCCCGACCGGGACTAGAACCTGGTGTGCCGACACTGCTAGGTGGAGGATTAGCCTAGTGAGCCGCGGCGCCGGCCTTGGACCATCTTCTATTGCTTTCCCAGGCCATAGCAAGGAGCTGGATCAGAAGTGGAGCAGCTGGGACTAGAACCTGCGCCCATATGGGATGCTGGCATTGCAGGCTGGGGCTTTAACCTGCTGCACCACAGCTCTAGCCCCAAGTTTTTAATTTTGATGAAGTCTAATTTATCTTTCTTTTTTGCTGCGTTTTAGTTAGATAAAGAAGACACATGGCACACAACAAACACACACAAGAGAGTGCTTCAAAAATTTTGTGGAAATGGAATAAAAGATAAGTTTATTTTGGTAGAAAAAATTTTGAGATCCATATATAGGGATATTCATGGGAAATATATAGGAAAAAGTCACTGAATTTCAAAAGATTTTCTCCACAAAATAAACTCATCTTTTAATTTTATTTCCATGAATTTTCTAAAATAGCCTGGAGCTCTATCTGGGTCTCCCACTTGGGTGGTAGGGACCCTGGTACCTGAGCCATCACCTGTGTCTCCCAAGGTGTGCATTAGCAGGAAGCTGGGTAGGGATAGGAAGCATAGGCTGGAATGCAGGCACTCTGATATGAGATGCGTGTATCCCAAGTGGCAATTTCACCACTGTGCCACAAACCTGCCCCTACATTATCTTTTAATTACATTTTTCTATGAACTTTACGAACTCTTGTGGTTCTGTGTATGTATCTTCCTCACTAAATGTAAGCTGTGGAGGACAAAAATCTTTAAATTGATATAATGTCTTACGGTGCCTCACTGCTATGTTGTGCTTACTGTGAAAGTTTTAAATTAATAGAGCGATAAAACAATATAAGACTGTATATAATTAAATACTCAAGTGAATGTCGTAGCTAATCAGTACTGTTGAATTGCAGATAACAGTGATCATTGTTTTCCAGATTTATTATGCCTTCATTGCAAGAGAGTAATATGAATGGGCTTATACAGGGTGGTGAGAGCTGATCAAGGGGAAAGAACATTTTAGCTGGGCAGATCACACTGACTGGAATAAAGATCGATTTTGGTTTGTAGATAGGCGAGCAGGGTGGATAAATAGGTAGGAACATTATATTTTAGAGGCCTTAAATAAAAGTTGGAAAAGTTTACCCTTATTCCATTTGGCTTAGGGAATCATTGAAGTTTTCTGAGTTCCAAAGTTTTTGGGAAAATAGTGCTTTAAAATTTACTTAGTTATGGGGCCGGCGCTGTGGCGCACTAGGTTAATCCTCCACCTGCGGCACCAGCATCCCTTGTGGGCACTGGTTCTAGACCCAGTTGCTCCTCTTCTAGTCCAGCTCTCTGCTGTGGCCTGGGATAGCAGTAGAGAATGGCCCAGATGCTTGGGCCCCTGCATACTCATGGGGAACCAGGAGGGAACACCTGGCTCTTGGTTTCGGATTGGTGCAGCTCCAGCCATTGCGGCCATTTGGAGAGTGAACCAACGGAGGGAAGACCTTTCTCTGTCTCTGTCTCTCTCTCTCTCTCTCTTTCTGTAACTCTACCTGTCAAATAAATAAAAAATCTTAAAAAAATTTACTTAGTTATAGCATTATGGACTGGAGGCAACTGGTTCTGTTACTGCAACATGACTTAAAAGGACATTAGTTCTTTCAGTCTTTTGACTTATCAGTTTTTTATTTGAGAAGTGGAGAGAGAGAGAGAGAGAGAAAGTGTGAGAGAGAGAGAGAGAGAGAGAGAGAGAGAGAGAGAAGCTCCCATCTGCTGGTTCACTCCTGAGTGCTCACAATGGGTGAGAGTGGTCCAGGGCTGGAGATGGCAGCTGACCGCACAATTCAGGTTTCCCACGTTAGTTGCAAGAACTCAATTATTTGAGCCATCACCACTGCATTCTAGGTTCTCTACTGGATTGAGGAGCTGGGGTTTGTAATCAACCCAGGTATTCTGATGAGGCATGTGACTGTAAACCACTAGGCTAAATGCCTGCTCCCCGTCAGTTCTTTAATTACACGGTTCTTTGTTTGATCATGAATACTTAACATGGTGCCTAGAACAAAGTTCGGCTATTATTCAGTGTCTGTGAATGTTTGAACGTGGAAATCCATGTCTGTATAGAGATGTTGGCAGTAGGAAAGGTCCATATTAGAGACATTTCAGAGGAAAAATCGAGATAATTTGTTTTCTAAGAGTATGAAGGGTGTCTAAGGTTGAAGGCGACATTAAAGTTTTAGCATGAGTTCCAATGTTAGCCAAGAAACAGGAAGTCATCTAGGGGAAAGGGGAGAGTCATCATTGTGTTTTTAGATTTGCTGAGTTTGGCATTGAAATGCCTAGTACATAGGGATTTAAGGGCTCAAATTAGAACTGAAGTCTGAATGTTTAATTTTGGATATCATTATGTAGATTATTGTTTCCACAGTAAAAATATTGGACTGATAAAGCTGTATTGTGTGCATGTGTGCAGAGGTGAGCACATGTACACAAATACACACACCTTCCTATACTACAAACCCACTTAGAGATTATTGATAAGCGAATCTGCTTGTTACTATTAGCAGAATAGTGAAGATGTTCTGGGGGGAGCAAAGGAAAAAAAGGGAACAAAAGGAGGAGCTAGAAAAAAATAGAGAGAGAAGAATTTATAACACAGATTTATCTATGTGACTTTGAAGTTTATCTTATGTTTCAAAAGCTTCCTCCTCCTAATGACAGGAGTGCTCTGTTGAGTGCTCATGGGGGACAGGCACAGTGCTTGGTGTGTATTTCTTTTTCTTCCCTCAATAAATCTATGACACAAAAGTTCTGTAGTACTCCCTTTCACTTAGGAAGAAACAAATCTAAAGAATTCAGAACTTGATAATTAGCAGGCAGTTCTTAGACAATAATGTTTTCTAAAAAATCATCGGCATGTGCTTTGGATGTGGCTGCTTGTTTCTGTTTGGGTGTTTATATTCATAGTGCATTAGCAGGTAAAGCTTTTCTTGGGTTACTTGGATATATTAATTTAAAAGAGAATGTCAATTCTTTTATTTAAGTATTAATCTTTCAGTAAATGTTTTTAACCTTTTTTTCTTAAACTAATATAAATTTATTTAGGAAATTTTTCTGATGCATTCTTAAGCCCACTCATGCATTAGCAAGAAAATATAAGGAGGGCCTGTGATTTTTCTTTTCTTTCAGGGGACATCATTTTCAATGCCCAGTACCCAGAGCTGCCCCCTGATTTTATCTTTGGAGAGGATGCTGAGTTCCTGCCAGACCCCTGTGCGCTGCACGTGAGTAGCACAGGCTTGTTTGAATGGTCTTCAGTTGTTGAAAACAAAATTTGCTTTTGACAACTGCTTAATGGATAAATTTGTCAAACATGTGATGTTTTTCTGCCCTTATTTTCTTTGATGTACTAAGAATTCTTCTGATGTATTAAGAATTGAACAAGAAATTTTTTATTAGACTTTTACTTTCAGACTCTTTTGAATTAATGAAAGTCTCTAACATATTGGTTGAGATGATTTTACTCCAGTTTACAGAGACATGTTGAAAACATTTTCTTTGTTTCAACTTCATATTTCTTGCCTGCAATCAATTTTCTAATGTTTACCAACACTTCATCATCAAGCTTGTTAGGAGAGTATTTCCTGGCTCTTCAAGAACTGTTTTACATAGAAGTAAAAGTGGCAAATTTGGCCTTGTCCCCACATTATCTCAGTATGATTATCAAATGAGTGAGCACTAGATTAAGTGTTCCTTATGAAGCAAGACCAGAATCTTTGTAGATGAAATAAAATGTTCCTGGAAGTAAAGCAGGAATACTTACCACTAGGGACGTGGGCGCTGGTACTTGTCCGAACACATGCGGTTTATTTAAAAGTTGTATGGTTTGCGTGGCTGCTAAAGAAAAACATGTGCCATTTTGTTTAAATGGTTCTGATCAGACAAAAAGACTTGTTTCTTTTCTTTCTTATATTGAGTTTACTGTCATATATGTGGTAAGAGATTTAATTATTGTTTAACACTCTATTTTTTTTTAAAAGATTTATTTATTTATTTGAAAGTCAGAGTTACAGAGAGAGGAGAGGCAGAGAAGAGAGAGAGAGAGAGAGAGAGAGAGGTCTTCCAAAATCTGGTTCACTCCTCAATTGGCTGCAATGGCCAGAGCTGTGCCGATCCAAAGCCAGGAGCCAGGAGCTTCTTCCGGGTTTCTCACGTGGGTGCAGGGGCCCAAGGACCTGGGCCATCTTCTACTGTTTTCCCAGGCCATAGCAGAGAGCTGGATTGGAAGTGGAGCAGCTGGGTCTCAAACCAGTGCCCATATGGGATGCTGGCACTTCAGGCCAGGGCGTTAACCCACTGTGCCACAACGCTGGCCCCCTAACACTCTGTTCTTAGTTTTGCTTTTTGGAATTTTTTGTCTTGTTGCAGTTTTGTAATTAAAATTTCGATGGCTTAAGAATACTTTGAAGTTGACCCCAAACCTCTCCTTTTTTAAAGGGGAAGTATTTACCCAGTTAAAGAACTAGCTTAAATTTTAGACCACAACTGTTAAAAATACTGTTAACAAGAGTAGAATAGGTTTGTTGTGAAGTTTGCAGTAATTGTACACAAGCTGTTGTTTTATTTAAATCTTAAATATTATAAGTTAAACATGACTCCTTCAGATGCCATGGGTTATCTCTTTACCCCTTCTTAAATCTGAGGTGATCTGAGGTGCTTACCTGGAGAAAATGAGGCAGAAGTGTCACTGTAGGCCTTTCTTATATTGAATTAGGCAGTGGAGGGTTGTGTACGTCAGACATTGAAGATGTGCTATAGGCTGAGTGCCCTAGGAATTTACAGAAAGCAACCAGAAAAAAACTTTACAGTAGAAGTGAGATTTGTGGTCACTCTTGAAGAACGGCACAAAAGTGGGAAGGAAGTATGGCAGCATTCCTTGTCGCATAGCACTAGCTCAAAGCCCCTTCTCTCAGCCATCCTCATTTCTGGTCTTCAATCTCTCCTTAGTCTATTGCACTGAACACATTGTCACTCCTTTCATCATTTCCTTCAGTGGCTCCTAGTCCTGCCTTAAATGTACTACCCAATCTTGTCCCAATTCACTGTTCTAACCCTTTCTAGCCCTTTCTTATATTAACTTAGATTTCAAAAATCTGTCAATACTCTCTTCTGCAATATACCCATACACACCAGAGCTTCTTCAAATTTGCTTACGTCATTCCCTCACACAAGATGTTTAGCTTTTGAGTAAAGTTACCACAAATGTTTTTGAGAAATTAGCTGAAAAAGTACAGCCAGGAAGTCAAAGCACTGAACCTAAGAGAAAATTGCAAATCTAGGGAAACTCCTCTTCAGTGATAGTTAATCTAAGGTCTCAGGTGGCTTATCCAGGGCTTCTTCATGGACCAGTAAGCTGGGCAAGCCCAGATAAACAACTAGAGTGCACCCTCCACTAGCTAGGTTATGGCCATTAGTCCTAAAAGTTGTTGCTCAAGGGGCCGGTGCTGTGATGTAGTGGGCTGTGCCTCTGCCTGTGGCACCTGAGTCCCATATGGGTGTTGGTTTGTGTCCTGGCTGCTCCTCTTCTTATCTCGCTGCAGTCTATGGCCTGGGAAGGCAGTGGAAGATGGACGAAGTTCTTGGGCCCTTGTACTGGCATGACAGACCTGGAAGAAGCTCCTGGTTCCTGGTTTTGGATCAGCTCAGCTTTGGTCATTGTGTCCATCTAGGGAGTGAACCAGTGGATGGAAGACCTTTCTCTCTGTAACTCTACCTCTCAAATAAATAAATAAAATCTTAAAAAAAAAAAAAAAAGTTGTGCTTGATTTTTACCTGGTTAAAACATTAGAATGGGGATAAATGAGAAGGCTTGATCCTTCTCAGACATTTCCCTCAGCTTATCTTGTCTGTGAAGGACTTTTTATTCAGCTGTTAGCAGGTTATGGTTTAGTTTTTGGTTTTAGTTCAAACCCCTGCCCTGCCACTTTTTTGAGGTACTCAGAGCACAGTCAGTAATCACGTGACTACCCTACATATGGCTCTGAATGAAGGGGGATTATACAGTTCATCACCCATGGAGTGGAAGACAGAATGCCTGCAGTTGGATGAAGTACTGCTCATTGAGAAAGGAATGAATATGCACCGTTGGTGTGTAGTCCAAAGTACTCTGTGTGGCAAATAGAGTTCCTTTGAAGCTTTTGATCTGTCTTAAAATTTACATTTGATTCTATAATATACCTGTATTTTTAAACATAAATATTCAATATTTAAGAAAAATGGACTTTTCAATGTGGCCCAGTTTGAGAAATATAATTTTAGAGAATATATATGTGTGTGTATATATATACTCTTTTATTTATTTATTTACACCACTCCTTTTGAAAAAAAAAAAAAAGATTTGAGGTGGCTGAAATATACAGGTGGCTGAAATATTTGAGGTGTTCTAATCTATCAGATGAAGCTGCCCTTTCTAGGCCAGATTATTCATTCAGGGAGTTGAGTTCTGTTAAGGAACTTGATATTTTCAGATAAATGTCAAATGCTAGATAGATACCAGATCTAGAAGTGGCTAGCTCAGAGATACCAGAGAATCTTAAAAATCATTGAGAAAGCCACTTCAGTGGCCCAGTGGCTACCAAGTGTGACTATACATTAGGATAATTTTGGAAGCCTTTAAAAATGTGTATGTCTGGGCCTCCACTAAACTTAATGAATTAGATACTTTGGGGACCCCAAAGACTGGTAAATTCTCTGGTATTAGTTTATTTTTATGCATTATGCTATAAATTGCTATTAGGAACCACTGATTGAATCATCTTTTACAGTACAGTCTCCTCCAACTGAAGGCCATGATATTACTTTCAGTGAGCTATCATTTTTCATTTTGAAGAGAGCTTTAATTTTTTAAAATAACGGCTTCATTGAGATATAATTTATTTACCATATAATTCACCTATGTAAAGTGTATAATTCCATGGTTTTTTGTGTGTTTGCAGAATTGTACAACTATCATCACAAATTTAGAACAGTCATCACCCTAAAAAGAAACCCTAACCCCCAACCATGCATTCTTTCTGGCTTTGCCTACTCTGGATATTTCATATAAATGAAATCATATATTATATGGATCTTTCCGACTGCTTTCACTTAGCATGATGTTTTCATATCGTATACATTGCTTTTATTTTTAATGCCAAGTAATATTTCATTGTCCATGCCTCATTTTATTTATCCACTTGTTACTTGATGGGCATTTGGGTTGTTTCCATTTTTTGGTTCTATAACTACTGCTGTTGTATGGACATATTTTTTTTTTTTCTTGGATATATCCTTAAGGAATTGAATTGCAGGTCCAAATGGTGACTCTACATTTCACTTTTTGAGAAACTACCAGACTGTTTTCAAAAGTGACTAAATCATTTGCATCCCCACCAGCAATACATAAGGATTCCGCTCTCTCTACATCCTTACCAACATTTGTTATCTGTCTTTTGATAGTAGCCTTTCTAGTGGGTGTGAAATGGTATGTTGTTGTGGTTTTGATTTGTGTTTCCCTGGTAGCTAATGATGTTGAACATCTTTTTGTGTGTTTATTAGCCATTTAGATATGTTCATTGGAGAAATGTCTATGTAGACCTTTTGCCCATTTTTAATTGGGTTATTTGATTCTTTGTTTTTGACTTCTAAGAGTTCTTTAAGTATTCTGGATATGAGTCCTTTATCAGATGTATGATTTGCCAAATTTTCTCTTATTCTGTGGGTTGTTTTTTTACTTTCTAGGTAAAGACATTTGAAAGACAAAAGTTTTTGGTGAAGTCTGCTTTATCTATTTTTATTGTTGTTGTTGCTTGTGCTTTAGTTTTATATCTAAGAAACTATTACCTAATACAATGTTGGGAAGATTTACTCTTATGTTTTCCTTGAAGAGTTTGATAGTTTATTTTTATTTATGGTGTGAGTTTGGGGTCCCACTTCATTGTTTTCTAAGTTGATAACCAGATATCTCAACATAATTTATTAGAAAGACTGCTTTTCCTTTATTGAGTTATCTTGGCATTCTTGTTAAGACTCAACTGAATATAAATGTGAGAGTTTATTTTCAGGCTCTCAATTCTATTTCCCTGACCTTATGTCTGTTATTCCAATTCTATAATGTATTGACTACCATGGTTTATTATAAGTTTTAAAATTGGAAAATGTAAGTTTTTCCCAATTGAATCTTATTTTTTTTTCAGAATTTCTTCGGCTATTATGAGTCCCTTGCTTTTCTATATGAATCTTAGGA